AACGGCGCCGATACGTTGGGTGCCACAAGCGAAACAAGCCCCGGATCGGCACTTGAGCCCTATACTCGCCACTCAAACCACGATTCTGCGATCAAAAATTCACTTTCGCGTGAAGTGTCCTTGCGGTGGAACGACCAAAATCCTATAGAGGTGGCTTCGACAAGTTCGGACTCGGATGCGCCCGATCTTCTTGAAGAACGACAAACTCGCATTACTTGAGGTGAACCAGTTTTAATACGAACACTTTGCCACAAACGGGTTGGCAAACCTGGCCGATGGTCATAGCCGATGGCTGTGAGACTGACTGTCAGTTCAGGCGCCATTCTGATCCAGTGGTCAGGATCAGAACCTGGCGAATCAACAGAATGGTCTCTCGGTCGCCAAGGTTACCACAACGACCGAGCAGCGGTAGGATATGCTTCTTGCAGCGAGTAGAAGCGGACAGCGTTCAATTCAAGTTTCATTGTCTAAAATGGGGAAACGTAAAGGTTTGCAAGTCAATTTCCACGGCGAATGCCATGCTCGACATGACTTCAGCTCTAGCGTACTGATCGCGCAGCCTGATTGCCGTCATCTGGCCCGATCATGCGGTAGTATAGGTCAGAATCAAGTTCTTCTGTATGTTGCACTGAACACTAAAAACATGGATTAGGCTTTATAGTAGGTTTTCCGACCTTGTGACCGTCGCAAAATTGAATCGGAAAGACACAGTCCAAGTATCGAGGCACCATGTGGCGGTGTCGACGACAGGGATCGCCACATACTGAAGACAAGATGTTCTGGCAACTCGATTTGCATTGCCAGACACTCGCACTCCTTGCCAATCGCCAATTGTTCGGTCACCTCACGGACACTTTGCCACATTACCAACTCAACTCGCAAATTTCAAGCGAAATTTGCAACATGCAGCTACGGCAAATTTCGCTCTTGTCGGCGGTCATGCCGGCTATGGCCCTTGCAGGCGGGGACACCTACTTCACCGGCGACGGCACGTCGTACACGCTCGGACAGGTATCCGCTGGCAATTGCAACTTCATGTACGACCCCGGCGTCGGCGACAACTACGCCGCACTGAATAATGAGCAATGGGACTCGACGCACAACTGTGGCCGATGCGCCGAAGTCTCGTGTGACGACGCGAGATGCAGCGACACGACCAGCACTCAGGTCGTCTACATCGTGGACAGGTGTCCGGAATGCAAGCAAGGCGACCTGGATCTCTCCCCGACCGTGTTTAAGACACTCACGGGCAGTGACCCGTCCCGCTATACCATCAAGTGGAGGTTCGTGGACTGTCCCGTGAGCGGTAACATCGAGTACTGCACGAAGAGCGGCAGTAGCAGCTCGTGGCTGGCCATTCAACCTGCAAATTTCGCCAACGGCGTCGCCAGCATGAAAATCGCCAACCAGGACGTGACGATGGTGGACTCGTGCTACTACTATCTGCTAAACGGCGGATCGAACGTCGACATGTCGGCGGTGAGCGTCGAACTCACGTCATTCTCAGGTGAGACCATCACCGAGACGCTGTCGCTCACGGCCGACAATTGCACAGAGGGCACGTCCAACTTCGGAGCCAGCACGACGCAGCAGAGCTCGACGCAGCAGAGTTCGACCAGCCAGACCGCCCCCGCGCCTACAACTGCACCGACTGCCGCTCCTACGACTGCTCCTCCGACAACTCCGGCGCCGGTGCCTACTACTGCCGCACCGACCGCTACGACCGCGACGCCCACGTCGTACTCAAGCAGCAGTTCATCTCAGACTCAGACCCAGCAGACGTCGTACACCTTCACGAGCAGCAGTGCATCTCAGTCTCAGACTCAGCAGAGCGAGGTGAGCAACTACTTTAACCGGCTGACAAACAGCTCGAGCTCGACGACCTACAAGGCCGGAAAGGTGACGGCCGCCGACGAGTCAGGCAGCGACGTGTCTATTCTACAATCCAGTGAGGCCGGCGTTGAAAAGACGTCCAGCGTTCAACAGCAAGACGACGAGACGGACGACACCAAGCAGGCAAGTACCAAGTCTGCGGTGGAGGCGTCGGGCACGAGTCCGGTCGTTGTCGCACTCATCGTCCTGGCCGTCGTGGGCGGCATCGCCCTGGCCGCCGTCGCGTACGTCGTCAAGAAGAAGAAGCTGGACGACAAACGGATCGACCGCGACGAAGCCATGATCCGGTCCTTCGACACGTTCAGCTCTCCCGTGGAAATCAACGCGACCAACATTGCCAAGATTTAAAGACACTTTTGCACTTATTCTTCAGAGTATACATGCAAATTGTGCAGTGGTTGCGTAAAGTGTACATCTCGACTTGTAGCGTTAAAAATGCGTTCATTTCGTTATTTTCCGTTTTGAAGGGGGGTCAGTGGCAATGGAACCGCTCCCGTTCGTACACTGCAGCATGTTATGAAATATAGCTCTGCTCTTGATATTCGTTGTGATTCTCTTGATCTCTCGGCACTTTTGCGATGCAGAAGAGAGGTCTACGCGCGATCGCGGCTCGAGTTTTCCTTGAAGTGTCCTGTTCAGCACGCCAGCGCTCTCTCTCTGACGCTATCGCACCCGAATAAGCTCCAGTGGGTTCAGCAACCTCTTGCATCTCCATTTCTTCACTGCAACGCAAAGGTCGGACCATGTTGCCATCCTGAAGATCAATCTATCGAATCGTCATGTTGAGTGAAGAGGAAGCTGAAGCAAAAATGACAATAGACACAAACGGCAGCCATTCATTTCAGAATGTGGCAAATTCTCACGGTTGCTCGTACGATTCACACGAAGAAATCACTGCCATCCCGTTGTCTACATGTGACTGTGAAGCTAGTGTGCGACAAGG